CTGAAGAAATCTGACTTTCTTTCTTTCCTTTTCCATCACTCATTCAATTTTTTAAATCTTCTTTCAGCTTTCCTTAGTCTGCAGTTTTCATTTTTTGTCGTTCTTTTACTTAAAGAGGAAATAAGAAATAAAATAAAATAAATAGAAAGAAAGAAAGAAAGAAAGAAAGGATAGTATTAACGGAGAAAAAAGGGAAAAACAAATTTAATACAGGAAAAATAAGAAAGAAGGAGTCAGTGAGGGAGTATAAAACAAAGAAAGAAAAGAAAAAAGAAAGAAAAAAGAAAAAAGAAAGAAAGGAAGAATAAGCGGGGACGGGGAAAAAAATAAAAAAAACTAAATCAATCACTGCAGGAAAAATAAGAAAGAAATAAAGTCAGTGAGAAAAGAAAGTGACAGAAAGAAAGTAACAAAAATGATAAGAAGTAAACAAAGAAAGGAAGAATGAATTGAAAAGAAAGAAAGAAAGAAAGAAAGAAAGAAAGAAAGAAAGAAAGAAAGAAAGAAAGAAAAAGCTGGAACGGGGTATAGGAAAAATAACTCAATTAATTCAGGAAAAATAAGAAGGAGAGTCAATGAGAGAGGAGAAAAGAAAGAGAGAGAAATAAAGAAACAAAGAGGATAAGGAGAAAACAAAGAAAGGAAAAGTCGATGAAAGAAAGAAAGAAAGAAAGAAAGAAAGAAAGAAAGAAAGAAATACGTTTTCGGAATGTGAAACGACAGAGATTAAAAAACGACGGAGAAAATCCCGAACACTTATTCTTGGGATGTGGAAAGAGACAGTTGGTCCAAGTGTTGATTCTATCCGACTCTCTATTCACATGGCCTGTCCACTCCAAAGCCCTCATCTTTACTGTTTAGCCACCGCCGCTGTGCCACTGACGCCACTGCTGCCGACGCTGTCTCTATCTCTCCCATGTCTTCGTGTTTTGCCCACATTTCGTCTATTGTTATTACGACGACCACGTGGCACAACAAACACATCACGTGGGCACTTCCTACCTAGCACCCCATCTATTCGCGCCCTTTCAAGCACGGGGGCGGAGCGAGGTGGAGTGGGAGAAGAAGGAGGCTAAAATAAGAAATGCAGAATCACTTTATGCAATACAACGCTTCATAGTGTTTTTTTTTTTTATTTTTTTTTTTTTTTCAACACCTTTTATGCCATTGTCCGCTTGGAACGAAAACTGAGAAAGAAAGAGAAAATGGAGAATAAAAATAAAATAAAACCGAATCGAAATACAGTCTTCAAAATAACCAAAATAAATAAACATGGTCCAGCAAAGATGAATAATATTCATCAAACGGACAATCCGATCAAGGCCAAAAGTCGGGGATCCAGGATTCGGAAACAAAAAGAAAATATGCCAGGGTTCCGGTGTTACGGCAGACCATTAAATAAAACAGAAAGAAAGAAAGAAAGAAAGAAAGAAAGAAAGAAAAAGAAAGAAAGAAAAAATAGATACAAGTATCTTGAACTTACCAGGGAACTGAAAGAGTTGTGTAACATAAAGCTGACAGTCATACAAGTTATTATCGGAGCACTGGAACCGGTCTCAAAGGATAAAGACTGACGGAATGGGATGTGCTTAATTTTCTTATAACAGTAACCATCATAAATATAAAACTAAAATGAATTTTTTTTTTTTAAAATTAAAAACTGCAATCCACGTATAATGTACTTATTTTCCAAGCGTAGCTTAGATGTGGCGCAAGGCCGAAAGTATGGGGCACCCAGTGATGATCGAACTCACTACTCAGTCGTAATTGTTCTAGCTAGACAAGCTTTCTAACCATTACGCCAACTCGAGGTGCCCAATTCACGTATTATGTATGTATGACAGCGTCAACATTGCAGTAAGATGATTATTTTATAAAAATTTAAATTACATAACGGTCAGTCTATCAGCATCTGAAGATTGCCTTGTGCATGAAACTCCGAGTCGTACAACAGGTGAGGGATAATATGTATATTTATTAATATATACTTAATAGCTCTGTTTTATTAGATCGAGCACAGTTTTATCAACACCATCAGTAATAGCGATAACGAAGATGGAGGAAATCAATTAGGGGAAAAGTCGAAATTATCCACTTTATTGGAAACAGGGATGATACTGATAAGAACAGTGTTTCGCAAACTATATGATGTGGCGTACCGACAATTTTTGTTTTGTTTTTGTTTTCTGTTTCAATGTACGATGGACCAGGGAGCAAAGCTTTCCAATCCAGCTGGGGCTTGTGGGGTGCACTGTGCCCCACGCACATTTTTATTTTTTTTTTTTTTAGATATATTCTATTTCATGGTCATTTTGAGACTCAGTATTAAACATTTATGCCATGATGTCTTATTCATTCTAAGGCCAGTCATCCGTAACGTTACAAGTCTCACCAGGGACCGGTAGCATATTTGTGCTAATTCTTCTACCTCTAGACACTAACAACGCATGCAACTGTGTTCGTTTCACACTTACACTGGCATTTAAGAATCTGCTAGGCAACTAAGGAATTTAATGCTAATTTTTTAAAAAATTTGCCCCAAATCCACGTGACTATACATTTTTTTCACAGACAGGCGAATTTTTTAAAGGCCAATTTAGAAATATATTATTCATGATAATGGCCTATTGGTATTCTTAGGCGTGGTTCCCGCACAGACATACGCCTACATCATCGTGATGGTATAGTCATACGTATTTCACTTCACTGTTTTGCTGTTCATTATACAGTGAAACATCGGTTCACGAAATTTAATGAGTTCATGAAGTCCGTTCATAACCCGAAATGTCCTTAAACCGAAACTATTTTTTCAATAGGAATCAGTAGAAAATGGATTAATCCGTTCCTGGTCCCAAGATGATTGCTTATTTAAACTTTAATAACAGTACTTTGTGCACATGTTTATACACAAAACAAATGAAAATCATTAAATCTAAAAAAAAAAAAAAAATACTAAATAGATAAAAAATAGACGAATACTTTAATTTTGCTGTACCTGTAAATCAGAGAGTTGATGGCGTAAGAGGAAAGAGATAGGTTATTTTTTGGAAAGGAGAAGGAAAGCCATGATCGTCTCTTTATTTATAAGAATAGTATAGATCGTTGATTTTGCAATAGGAAGAGACAATATCATCAACAATTGATTTTCTATCAACTTTTCTTTTTCCTTTACCAGTATCACTGCTAGCTTTCTTTGGCTGTATGTCTAACTAGGGCTAATAAAGAGAAAAAAAGGCACAATACAATAAAATTGGAAAAGAAAAGCACAACACACGAATGTATACAACATGGCGGTCGACTAAGAAATTATTACGTTCGGGTTAAGTCGGTTCGGCTCAGTTCGAGAACTGAAATTTTATTCGATAACCGAGGCATTTTCATCTGGAATTTTCTGTTCGACAACCGATTTGTTCGACATGTGAGACGTTAGATAACCTAGGTTGCTCTCTATCGCAGTCGTTAGTTGTAAAGTAATCACTTTTAACGTGAGTAATTGAAAAATATAACTAATGTAGTAACAACTTTAAGTAGAAGCTTATGAAGCTTCATTTGACCAATTCAGCTTTAGCGCTGAGAAACGTTTGTTTGATTATGATGGATAGTTACAAACGAGAGTGGAGATGGGATGGGCTTAATTTTCTTATCACAGTAACCATAATAAATATAAAACTAAATTTAAATATATATATTTTTTAATAAGAAACTATAATCCACGTATAATATATGACACTGCCAACATTGCGGTTACAAGATATTTTTTTATTAAAATTAAAGTACGTAACGGTCAGTCTATAATCAACATCTGAAGATTACATTCTGCATGAAACTCCGTGTCGGGCTACCAGTGAGGGATAATAAGTATATTTATTAATATATGCTTAATAGCTCTGCTTTATTACATCGAGCACGGTTTTTTTTTAACTCCAGCAGTAATAGCGATAACAAAGATGGGCAAACCAAAAGCGCTATCAGTCAGTAAAATACTGAGAGAAAAGGCATTTAAGACAATCCGTCTTAGCAATAAAGTGTTGTAATTTTTGGGTACTAGTGAGCCAGCCAAAATGAGCTGACTCATTTTATAGTTCACCAATAGAAGGGTTAACCAATCAGAAGGCTCAAAATATTCAATGCGACGTATATAAAGGCGGCCATGTTTTTCTCGACTATGCACTTCTAGCCTTTGATATCGAAGACTGAAGAATTACGGAACAGCTGATGGTGGTATTGGCGATATATTCAGATTCAGTAAAGTGTCTGACTCGTGAGTGTTAATCTTTAATGTTGTTTCATTGAACAGATTACGTACTGCGCTGTATTCTATATTCATAGACTATGCCGAACATGGTCAACATAAAGTGCTCGATATAATAGATAGAGTATTAATAGAATTAATACAAGTAAAGGTTTTGCCACTTATCTGATTATTGTTACCTTCAGCATCCCGACTCCAGAGTTTTGTAGACGAATAATCCGGGAATCACCCCGTCCACACTTCAAGGGAAATTAAAATAAGTTAAAATTATATATATATATTTCACGTCCATCCAAATAAGTTTTGCTAAATTCAACCGACAAAGACTTTCTGTTTATTTTTTTTATTGTATTTCTTTATTGTAGAAGGGCAAGTATCTTTAGCTCTGTCAATCTGGCTTCTGCTTAAACTTTACTTATAGTTGGTACTATTGTAGTCACGTGATCAAAATTTGAACTAGTTTTCTTCCTGCTGTTACAGTGTAAACATGACCGCTCCGCTAGCAGTGTGCACCAAGGAGGAACAAAAAGCAGTGATATGAATCTTCAAAGAACATGCTACTTCATCGATGATAACTCACCGATTCGCTATTCACCATTACCATCTTCTCGACCGTGGTGGCGTTTGGACACCCTGCATCTTCTTCGTGCATCACAACTGCCCGGCCAATTTTAAACGTCTGGATCCACATACCCTAGATTCTGAATTCGCATCCACTTCTATGCGCTATGTCTATTGTGTTAAAAGCCTCGGGTGAATTTCAACCCCGAAATACTTTCCTACCAAAGAAACCGGATCACTGCTTAATTCGATAATCCGGACTTGAAATTAATCTAATTTCACTCGCAAGCCATGTGGCATGGTTTTCAGGCACTTCTCAATGACATCGCACGCTGAGATTGTCGACCCAGGCCGATAAGCCCAAGAAATTAACCCCTTGGCAAATCGAAATCGATATATATATATATATATATATATATATATATATATATATATATATATATATATATATATATTGTGTATTTAGGCAGCATCTTTTTCATTCATACACGTTTCATTAAATAATATAGACAAGTGTTGTCTATTTATTTTATGTAAATTTTTCGTAACGTCTGATAAGTTTAATAACATAATCGTTTATATATATATATATATATATATATATATATATATATATATGATATCAAATCCGTAACAGGAAAGTATAATCCAAGTATTTTTAATATAAAATATTATAAATCTTCTAGGTCAAGCGTTATCTGTTTTTTTTTTTTTTTTTTTTTTTTTTTTTTTTTAATATTGTCTGGATAAATTAAAACTATTTTGTAAAATAAATCATTTATAATTTCGGTCTGATGAGACAATTATTAAAAACTTGTCGAAATAATTTATAATAGAGTTTTCGATGATGCGTCTAGTTTTTTTTTTATATATATATATATATATATATATATATATATATATATATATATATTAAAGGCATTAAAACAAGATGAGATCAATAAAAAATTTTCTTTGGGCGATACCATTCGTAACACATATGGGTCTTCGATTGCGGATCACTTTATAAAGAATCCCACTTGTGCGATGGATTTCAGTGTGAACTGGTTTTGCGTTTTGGCCAGTTCGCACTCATTATTCCATCTTAAGGTGTTGGAGACGCTTTACATCAGGTCCAGGCAACCTGCTCTTTGCAAACAAAGAGATTGTTTGCTTGGACTTGCTGTGCTGCGCTTCTAGCATCTTGGTTGGTATAATTTTTATAATATTTTTTTCTCCCTGTCCACTCATTCATGTCATCCATGACAGACTTTTTTCTTTTTTTCCGCATAATTTTAGTTCCACGTTAAGAGGTTCTGATGAGAGGGGACGAAACCGGTCGACTGGTGTGTGTTTTGTTTTAAATCTATCATGGCCTACAATATAAAATTTCTTGTTTTTAATTCCTTAATACGCTTTTGTACCGTTTCAAACATATTTAAATATATATATATATATATATATATATATATATATATATATATATATATATAGTGATTTACTAAGCGTAGCTAAGTTGTTGCGCAAGGCTGAAAGTATGGGGCACCTATTGAGGATCGAACCCAGTATGCAGTCGTAACTGAGCTCATCTGAATATTTGATATGCCAACTGTGATAGGGTAATGACAGGCTTGCAACCTTGCATCTGTAGGAAACGAGGTGCATAGTTGAAAAATAAGTCTCCCTTCACAAGATGCT